AGGGAAAGATGTCCCGAGGAAGAAGAGGAGGAGGAAGAGATTGGATCGATACCCTGCCCTTCACTACCCAAAAGGAGTCTCAGAGCGGCTGACAATCTCATAGACTCACAGAATTGGACCAGGGCTATTTTGGGGCAGGAACGCACAGGAACGGCGTTCCGGCTGGCTCCCGGGTTGGCCACGCCCAGCAGGAACTGATTAGCATAATAAGCTACACCCAACAGCTACATAAGGGGTGTGTGGCCTAACGTGCAAAGGAGTCCCTGCTCCAAAAAAAAGGCCCTGGGTTTTGACAACAAACAAGGTAAACAGAATAAGAAGCAAAAGGTGGGTGTGGCTGAATGACCACACTTCTGGGAACACGGGGGTGTGGCCTAATAGGCTAATGCGCTGTGCTGTCAGGGGTGTGGCCTAACATGCTAATACGTTTCTGCTGTTGGGTGTGGCCTGTTATGCTAATGAGTTCCCGTTGGGCTTTTTCTACCAAAAGAGCCCTGGAAGGGGCCATACAGACCATCTAGTCCAACCCCCTGCCAAATGCAGGACCGGCTTAAAGCATCTCTGACAAATATTCCTCCAGCCTCTTCTCGAAAACTGCCAGTGAAAGGGAACTCACCACCTCCCTGGGCAGCTGATTCCACCCTTGAATCACTCTGCCCGTGAAAAACTGTTTCCTAATATCCAGCCAATACCTTTCTGCATGTCATTGAAACCCCGTTGCTTCGGGTCCTCTCCTCTGCTGCCAACTGGAACAGCGCCTTGCCCTCCTCCAAATGACAGCCTTTCAAATATTTAAAGAGAGCAATCACGTCCCCCCTCGGTCTCCTCTTCTCCAGACTAAACATTCCCAGGGCCCTGAGCCTTTCCTCGTAGGGCTCAGTCTCCAGACCCCCCGATCATCCTTTTCAGTCTCTTCTTCACCCTCTCGATCTGTCGCAGTCATTCTGTGGCTGGCTGTGCCTCCAGCAGCCATTCTGTGACAGATTTTCAAATGTGCCGGCAGGCTCGAAAAAATCGGGGACCCCCGCTTTATCCAAGGTCACACCAGCAGCTGCATGTGGAGGAGTGCGGAATCAAAGCCAGTTCTCCCATATTAGAGTCCACGCTCCTAACCGCGACACCAAACTGGTGTACAATATTCTCCAGCACGTACTCTTTTTCTGATATGCAGTACACCATGTTGCGAACACGGCGGGGGGGAGGCAACAACGACGACTGAGGATTTCTGGCACAGTACGGCAGGCGGAGACTCGTAAAGGAGCAAGACTCAGAGACGGCTTGGAGGGTGTGTTTTTATTTTTTCAATTTTTTTTAAAGATTAGTAAACTAGAATAATTTATTTGACAAAACACGGAAACGTCACAGATACAAGGGAGGAACCGAAGAAGTACCAGGGGCGGGGGGCGGGTCAGTACAAAGAAACCACGTTACAAAATGTACCACGCTGCCTGGCGCTCTCGCGCAGGGGCTGCCCTCGCTCCGGAGGGGCTTGCTCACTTTCTCTCTGCTTCTCTCTCCCCCCCACCCACAAAGGGCCTACACTCTGCCCTTCCGCCTCCCCCGGAGCACTTTTGGGGCCCTGAAGCCCACCGACACAGAAACAACAATGGGGTTCTTTATGGAGGGATGGCACGAGGGATTGCATATTAAACACAAGCTGGCGGGCCCTCTCTCGGGCGCAGAGCTGAACTCGGGGCCGTTGAGCTAACTAGGGTCGGCAGTGCGGCTTGCTGGAGAGAGACTTGCTTATAGCTGAACGGGCTCCTTTGGCTCCGGGAGCCGCAAACTGGAGCCACCAAGGTTATTCATCTGCACCGCTGGACCTCCTACTCAACCCCTGGGTTTCTACAGAGACAGGCTCCTCCCATATGGTCCAGCCCGCCAGTTAAGAGCTCATAAGCCCCGCCCTCTGTGCCCCTCCCCACCTTCGGAGGCGAGGCCGGTGGTGGCCGGACGCGTGGCTTTTTCAGTGGTGGCCCCTTGCTGTCGGAACGCGCTCCCCCCCGGCGGCACCGACGCTGCTTTCTTTTTGGCGCCAGGCCAAACCGTTTCTGCTCATCCAGGCTTCGAATTAAAGGGGGGGGGGGAATCTTCTTTTTAAAACACAGTTTTAAGTTTGGAAACGGAGATTCTAAGTGGTCTGTGACGTCTTGTGCCGGTCTGCGTCTCCAGCCCGAGCTGGGCTTTTAAAAAGTGCTCTCGTTCAAGGGCTTTTCAATCGTTGTAATTTTTAAAAGGTTTGTATTTTTGTAAGCCGCAACCGTCAAGTTCCCCGAGAGGCGGTGCAGAGCTTTTCTAAATAAATTTAAAAATGTCTCTGTCAAAGGCGGAAGAGGAGGCCAGGGTTCTCCCCCCCCCCCTTACAGTTGGCAAGGCACCTGAGCACATCCCAGTATGGGCACCGGAAGGGCACAGTCCCGCTTTCTTTATGTAATGTATCCAGTCCAGACAAGTCCAGGGACAAACGGCGAGCTTCGCTCCAAGAGACAATGGACTATGCGGATCCTAGCCCCGCTCCAATCAGGGGGCGAGGTTCCCGGCCGAGAGCCTATGGGACTCTCGGCCACTGTAAATAACCTATAGGGAAGTAGGGGTGTGTTTTGGGTGGTGGTTTCTCGGGGGATATAAGCCGGCCTGCGAGCCGGCCAAAGCTGTCTTGTTCCGGATAGAATAAAGTACGCTTTGCTGAAATCACTCTCTGTTTGCGTACTTTTCACTTAAGGAGCGTGGCACACAGCTGCTTGAGAGCCGGATAGAACTCCCTGGAAGAGGGTTACGCTCAGGGAATAAAAACCTCCCGGTGCTCCCCACAGTCTGAGAAAGATCCGGCCATCCTCGACCAGGGCTGGCGCTTTTTCAATCCTGGACCCCACCGGGTGGAACTCTACTGGAGAATATCCGTGCCCTGCAGGAGTTACTACAGGGTTGCCACTTTCTGGAAAGTCAGGGAAATGAAAATTGGTCAGGGAAAGTCAGGGGAATTGTGATTAAAACATATTCCAGCAGTGGATTTTTGACCGGCTGCTGCAAGAGCCTGACCTGTTCTTGTGGCAACGGGCATAGAGAAGTCGCAGAACACAAGTAGAACTCAATGATGTCCTTTCCCAACCCTTTTAGATAGAACGTTTATATAATTTTTAGTGTACCTTTAAAACAAGAACACAAATGTTATGTCATTTGTTCGCATTCAGAGTTTACTTGAGTTGAAGTTTGTATCTTGGTGTAAGTTTTGGTGCCGTTGCAAAAACAGATGTTGCTGCAGCTAATGTTGAAAGAAGCTGGTGTTAAATCTCTTTGACAAATATTTTTGCAGTTGGGACTGGTGTAGTTGTAGAGTAGAACCTTACCTTGCATTAATGCAATACGACCAGTGTCCCCTCTAGGCTGAGTTAGTGTGAGGTAGCTCACAGTTTTTTAGCCTCCGGCTCACATTCTTGTCTTAGCTCAGGAAGGATGGCTCCGGAGGAAACTAATTTATGCAGTGGCCAAATCGCCGCTCACAACTTTCATGTTAGTAGAATTTTTGCTCACAAGACTCCACAGCTTAGAGGGAGCACTGACCTATTCAATTTTTTAACTTGTGGTTATATTTGAATGGTGGTCAGGGAAATTGACAAATGTTGGTCAGGGAGTCAGGGAAATGAAAAATAAAATTTTAGTGGCAACCCTGTACTACCTTTCCACAGGTCATGGAATGCAGAGATGTTCTGTCAGCCGTTCGGTTGGGGGCAGCGACGGGGATAGTATGACCTCTGGCACTTGTATGAGCTCCCCATCCTGTGCAACACCCCCCCACACCCGGAGGCCGGGAAGCTCCCCGGCCATTTTGGACTGCATACTGTTTTATTTATTGATCTGTCTCTGGGTAACTTTTAAGGTTGGTTTTAATCTAAATTATTTATTGGACGCTATTCTGTCGTAAGCCGCCCTCAGCCCAACTTGTAGGGAAGGGCGGCCTAGTGAATACGATTTAATAAGTAAATAATAAATAAAGCGTGGGGGGGGAGGTCGGTGTACCCTCTAAGCTGAGTGAGTGTGAGCCAGCTCGCAGTTTTTTAGCCTCTGGCTCACACATTTTTGTCTTCGCTCAGGAAGGGATGGCTCCAGAGCGAAGTGATTTATGCAGCGGCCAAATGGCTCGCTCACAACTTTAATGCCAGTGGCTCACAAAGGAGAATTTTTGCTCACAAGACTCCACAGCTTAGAGGGAGCATTGGTGGGGGTGTCAGGCAGGGACTGAGTTTTGCCAGCCTGGGCATGTACCCGCTTCTGCCAGGCACAGGCTGATCCCGCTGCCTAAAAGCCTTCCTAACCGAAATGCCAGTTGGCATGACCAGCCAAGTTTCTGTTATATATCAAACAAACACTGTGAATAAAAAGGACAAGGACATTTAAGAAATCTTATGAACATCAAATTATATTACAAATGAAACTTTTACAGTATGGGTACGGACAGACGGCGTGCTGAGAACGGGTTAAACTGCTCCGGTTCTGACCGGATTATATTTGATTTGGTTAATCGCAATCACACTTACCTCCCTTATCCAGCCTCACCGCGCAGTCACATTGCTCCCCGGCATCTACACTACCAGCGCACGGGAGCATGCGTTGGCAGGTTTTTTTGTTTTTCCTCAGTTTGCGCATGCGCATGGGCGCCCCTCCATAAAAGGGGGGAAACTATCATGGCGCATGCGCAGAACCACCAGGGCGAATCAATCCAACCCCTCCAACACAAAACTTCCCTTTAAACATTTGAGCCGAAAATGGCCTCCGTGAGATCCCGAACTCATCTAAACGCTAAAACAAGTGACCGTTTAAATGTCGGTTTTCTAAATGCGGTGGCGGAGCTCTGCCTATGCACGCACCGCTGACGCATAAAAAAATGGCGGGCGAAAAGCGGAAGCCTCGGGCAGCTTTCGAGCAGGGAGGGGGTTTAAACCGGAAGTGGCTCGACACCGCAGGAGCGACCAGACATCAGAAAAGTGCGGCTAGAACCGGAGAATCAGGAAAACACCACTTGGGGACCTGGTATCAAAATACTCCGTTTTAAAGGGGGGTTGAGCTGGAAAGCGATGGCTGGGGACGGTGCGCAGATGTTGGGTGTGTGAACGTGGATATAAAATCCGTTACTGAAGTGTGCCGAAAGCAGACTAAACGGCCCGTCTGAACGCACCCTCTTACTAAGGAAATTCTAACTACCACTAGAAACGACTAGAGAGCAATTGAGCCAGCAACTTGAGATAAGAGAGCAATTGCCAGGCAAATTTTAAAAAAGAAGGCTTCTAGCCGGATAGAAAAGAAGACTGGTTGCTACTACTAGAAATAAATTAATGGGCTTGCTCCTGATTCAAACACTTGAAATGGAACTAGAAGATAATTTGAAGAAAGTAAAAAAATAAGTTAAGCTGTAATAATGTGAAAATGGAACCAGAAGATAATTTGAAGAAAGCAAAAAAGAAGTTAAGCTGTAAAAATTTGAAGAGAGTAAAAAAAAAAAAGCTGTAAAAATTTGAAGAAAGTAAAAAAGAAGGTAAGCTGAATCAAGAGGCTGACACGTTTCAATATAATAGGATTACTCCTGAGGAAGATTGGTGGAATGAATTTGTAACCGAATGCTCATTGAAGATGACGGACTTTTCCTTGAGAATGTTAGAATGTTGTGTTTTAATTCTGTACTATTTATGCTTTTATTCTGTATTGTTGTACTGTTTGTTGGAAGCAGCCCTAAGCCGGCTTTGCGGGGAGGGCGGGGTATAAATTTGACTATAAATAAATAAATAAATAAATGTTATGCTCCTGCAGAGTGCGGGGGGTTGGACTAGATGACCTGCAAGTTCCCTTCCAATTCTAGCATCCTATGATTCTATGAATCTCCCTAGTAATATTGTAAAAGTCTGATTTGTAATATAATTTGACGTTCATAAGATTTTATCAAATGCCATTGTCATTTTTATCGCAGTGTTTCTTTGTCTGATACATTTCTTTGTCACTGTGGTTCCTTTTTCGGTTTACTAATTTTCTGTTATGACCTTAGGGTTGCCAAGTTGGAATTGAGCTGCAGCGGGGGACTCCCGGTTGGCGGCTGGAGTGCGTGTGCGTCACCCGGAAGTGATGTAATGACGCCGGGCATGCTGGGGGCGGGGCCACGACCATCCAAGGGAAAACCATAGAGTTTTCCCTCGGAAACCATAGAGTTTTCCCTCGGATGACCGTGGCCCCGCCCCCAGCGTGCCCGGCGTCATCACGTCACTTCCGGGTGACGTGCACGTCAGGGTGGAGTCCCCCCGGGGCCCGATCCACCGACGGCGGGGAACGGGCCTCTGGGGCGGGGATTTCCTCGCCCCCCAGGGGGACTTGGCAAGCCTATATGACCTGCAAAACGTTGTGTTCCTTTTTGGCCCCGTGGAAGACGCGGGTAGGGTAAGGTGACCTGATGGCTTTGAATGTCTTTAAACAAATACCGAACTAGGAGTTTTGTTGTCCCCCGTCCCCCCAAAGCTACCAACAACTAAGAAAGCCTCAGTTAAAGTCGCTGAAAGCTGAGAATGGCCAGGATCCATTATGTGAAATCCCGGAGAAACAGCAGATGAACTTGGCTGTACTGGTCTACTGAAACCGGCCTCTGGTCCCCGCCCACCCACCCACCCCCTGACAGCACAGATGCTCCCAGAAGCTCCCAAGCAAAGCAGAAAGATGACCGATAGCCTGTTGACTGTCCCAGGCTGCCGGGACTCAGGTACACTGCCCCTGACTGTGGAGGTTCTACCGCTCTGGCTGGGCTCTCCTCCACCACGACGTCTGAATTCCTTTCAAGGCCATTGGAAATTCTCTCACCCCACCCCCCAGTTAAATATACACACCGATTCAACACATTTACTGTCTGCCCAAATCCGACTGCACTGGGTACACACAAATGTAAAGAGAGCAGACGGGCAATTTCTGAGTACGCACTTCACCCCCCCCTCCAGGCAGAGCACAGCCGTCACGGCACACCCCTCCCACACACACACACACACACACATACGACAGCACACACGCATGCCCACGACGTGACTCACAAACCAGCGTGCGCTCTCGGCACCCGGCAGCGGAACTGTGGTTGGCACAGCTGCCCACGAGATGGCCAAGGGGCCCCCAGCCTGGGCTCTCGGGCACCGTCTTAGAAAACAAATGACTTATACAAAAAGAGAAGCGGCCCTAGTGCACGGGCGGCGTTTTATACTGTGAAACGAAGAGAAGGAAGTTGGAGGTGGGGGGGGGAGCGCTCCAGTTTATCTGTCGTTCAGCTGCGGAGAGTTTGTGCCCTCTTCGTCTTCCTCCTTCTCGTCCTTCATGCCTTTGAGCCGCTGCCGGGCAAAGTCTTCAAAAACGATGTCATCGTCACTGGGAGAGAGAGAGAGAGAGAGAAACGGCGGATCAGGCAGCTGTAAGGAGGTGTCTCCTGGGGGTGTCCCAGGAGGAGGTAGTCAAGCTGACGCCCTTTCAAGGCATCCTGTGGAAGGTCTCCCTCTAGCACTTAGGGCAAATTCTGCAGCCCGAATTCATTAAACAGAGTCAGCGTGATGAGGGGGGCTTGATAGTTTTCGAATCACCAGAGGAAGCCGCTAAAGCTTGCACGTGTTTCAAGGTTCTGGGGGCGTGACCGATGCTCCCTCTAAGGCGTGGAGTCTTGTGCGCAAACATTCTACTTTGTGAGCGACTGGCATTAAAGTTATGAGCAAACAGTTTGGCTGCATGCATAAATGAGTTTGCTCTGGAGCCATCCCTTCCTGAGCTTGGACAAAACTGTACGAGCCAGAGGCTAAAAAACTGTGAGCTGGCTCACACTCACTCAGCTTAGAGGGAACACTGGGCGTGACTCCACCTTGAAAAGCGGGTCTAGCAATGCCTGTTCAAGAGAAGTCTCAGTTTACTTCCCACAATTAGAAAAGGTACCTTTACACATTTATCCCCTTATTCTGACATATTCAAGGCTATTTTTGGGCAGGAACGCACAGGAACGGAGTTCCGGCTGGCTCCCGAGTTGGCCACACCCAGCAGGAACGCATTAGCATAAGAGGCCACGCCCAACAGCAGAAACTCATTAGGATTGGCTACATTAGGGGGGTGTGGCCTAACATGCAAAGGAGTTCCTGCTACAAAACAAGGCCCTGGGTTTTGACAACAAACAAGGTAAACAGAATAAGAAGCAAAAGGTGGGTGTGGCTGGATGACCACACTTCTGGTAACATGGGGGTGCGACCTAATATGCTAATGAGTGGTGCAATCAGGGGTGTGGCCTAATATGCTGATGAGTTTCTGCTGCTGGGTGTGGCCTATTATGCTAATGAGTTCCTGCTGGACTTTTTCTACAAAAAAAGCCTGGGCATATTTATCACTTTGCTGCCCTTTCCCCCGTTAATTAAATCAAAACAACTGTTGACTTTATAAACCGTAGCTTGTTCCTTAGTTTTGTTTCTGCATAACTGAAAACATCTTCCATCACGTTACATGCAAATTTGCTGCTCACGCTGTCCATAAGTTGGAACTCTACCTTCCCTTCCAGTGTATTTGAAAAAATGTGCCTGCACACGAAAGCGCATACCTTGAATGAACCTTTGTTGGTCTTAAAGGTGCCCCCACTGGACTCTAAATTTGTCCTACTGCTTCAGAGCCACGCGGCTGCCCACCTGGGACTGTGTTCAAGACCCATCACTTTTATTAGTTTTGAACTGTCGGTGGTTCCCTGCTTTATGCATTAGCTCAAAGAAGTGCCTACACAGCGAAGATCTGCATTATGTAAATGTGACTGCAAAGAGTCCTACTGGAGCAGATATCTGTCGGCTACAGCTTCCTATTCCCTCGATTAATTTAGGATTAATTTAGGATTAATCAAGAGAAGAGCGAAAAACACACACAAAGGTTGAGAACGGTAACAAATTTAGCCTGTTTGAGTCTGTTTCTTACATTTGTCTAATTTCTTCTGCTGCCTGGGGGGTGGGGTGGGGAGGCAAGCAGAGAATGTATGCCTAGAGCATGGAACACTGCGGGTGTGGACAGGGAGGTATTAGTGACTTTCCTGCATTGTGCAAGGGTTGGACTAGATGACCTTCATGGAACCCTCCAGCTCTGTGTTTCTACGTGTTACACGAGGTATCAAGTGGAGGGTGGACAACCATCTTTTGGGTATGTTGTAGGTATGTAGGGCTCTCTTTCAGCTATGCTCCTGCAGAGTGCAGGGGGCTGGACTAGATGACCTTCAGGGCTCCCTCCAGCTCTGTGTTTCTACGCGTTACACAAGGTATCAAGTGGAGGCTGGACAACCATCTTTCGGGTATGTTGTAGGTATGTAGGGTTCTCTTTCGGCTATGCTCCTGTAAAGTGCAGGGGGCTGGACTAGATGACCTTCAGGGCTCCCTCCAGCTCTGTGTTTCTACGCGTTACACAAGGTATCAAGCGGAGGCTGGACAACCATCTTTCGGGTATGTTGTAGGTATGTAGGGCTCTCTTTCGGCTCTGCTCCTGCAGAGTGCAGGGGGCTGGACTAGATGACCTGCAAGGTCCCTTCCAACGCTAACATTCTATGATTCTAAGCTTGCGTAAAGCCCCACCGTAGCTACGGGCCCACTCTTGCCACGACTCACTTAAAAAGTTTGGACGTAAGGAACCCGACACAGAAGGGAACGCGGAGGATCAAAGACACGGGGAAGGCGCCGTCTTACTTTGGGTCTCCTGCGTGGCCGCGCATGCGTACAAAGCCAGCGGGTGTGAGCGTGCAAAGAAGGGGGGGAAGAGAAGAAACATGCATTCCGTGCATTAAAAGGTTAGGCGCGAGAGGCGTTCGAAGCGCTGGGTTCCGCGTGGAGAACGGCACGTAACGAGGTTAGCGATAGATGAGTCAGTTGTTAGTAAGTCACATGCGGCAAAGAATGACGCAGGAATGACCCCCCCCCGCGCTTCCGCCCCGGCCCTCCCCACATGGCCCCCCCACCCCACCCCCAAATCTGGCTTACTTTGTGTCCAGCTCGATAAGGTTTGTGTCAACGGGAGCTTCGTTTTCTGGAACTGAACACAGGCAATTGCGGCAAATGGTTAGAGCTCTCGGGAAGCGATCGATTCTCTGACAACCCACTAACGTTTTTTGTTAACCCGCCCCACATCCAAGACAGCAGTCTGCATTCTTACTTCATTAATGGGGAGGGGGGTTCTGAGCAAATAAATACAACCGATTCATCTACATTACAGGGAAATGACTTACAGGCGTTTAAATAGTATCTTGAGATCACAAAATCAATGAACAGGGACCAGAGTCTTCAAAACGCCTCTCAACTCTTCCCAGAGGCAATACCCTCGATCAATTTCTGCCATTCCAGGCAGTTTTCCGCGATGCGGCGATCCAATCTTTCAATGCCACGGTTTTGTCTTCTTTGCCACTTACTTAACTGTCGATATCTTTCTTGGAGTCAATAAGTTCCACACCAAGTCAAAACATTCGTTTTCACACTGCACCTTCTGAATACCGAAGGAAATCACTCAGGGAGGGAGTCTTGTCATTGAACTGAAGATGTATAACTTTCCCAAAAACCTTTTTTTGGAAATGTTTTTGGGAGTGTTATAGGTCCTCCGTTTATTTATTTATTATCAAATTTATACCCCGCCCTCCGACACAGCAGGCTCAGGGCGGCTTCCATAAAAGCGTAAGGTAAAGGTAAAGGTTCCCTTGCTCGAAAGTCAGTCAAATCCAACTCTAGGGTTGCGGTGCTCATCTCCGTTTCAAAGCCGAAGAGCCAGCGCTGTCCGAAGACGTTTCTGTGGTCATGTGGCTGGCATGACTAAACACCAAGGCGCACGGAACGCTGTTACCTTCCCACCGAAGTGGTACCTATTTATCTACTTGCAATTTCTTGCTTTCGGACTGCTAGGTTGGCAGTAGCTGGAACTAGAGACGGGAGCTCACTTTGTCATGTGGCACACTTGGGTCTCGAACTGCTGAACTACCGACCTTCCACAGCCTGCAGTTCAGCGTCTTAACCACTTGAGCCACCACAGCTCATATAACAGCATAAATACATTAAAATTACACAAATATTTAACCACACAATAAAAACATTATAAATACAAAGTGTTGCCGGCTGTTAAATTAACCTAGATGGTATATTGCCAGAGTAAATTTCCACTGCCCAGATGTTCCACGATGTTTCTGCTCATAATCAGATAGATGTTAAAACCACAGACCAGAGCTCTGCAATAGCGGCTTGCGATAGCAGCCTGCAGTAACTGCCAGCAGTAGCGGCGGCCCCTAATTAAACACCTGGCAGAAGAGCTCCATCTTACAGGCCCTGCGGAACTGCAAAAGGTCCAGCAGGGCCCTGATCTCCTCCGGGAGCTCGTTCCACCAGGTAGGGGCAGCCACTGAAAAGGCTCCGGCCCTGGTGATAGTTATTTTGGCCTCCCTCGGGCCAGGGAGGGTCAGCCGATTAATGGCAACATCTAATTTTGTTTAATGACAAAATCTCATTTGGGGGCATTCCCATCCTAAATGAAGCAAGCTGCCATCTCGCTGAAGACAGGTCAGACTAAGATCTGAGAGACCTGGATTCGAATCTCTGCTTTGCCATGGAAGCTTGCTGGGGGACTCTGGGGCAGTCACAAACGCTTTGCCTGTACTACCTCACAGGGATGTTTAAAGATAAAATGGAGGAGAGAAGAATGATGTAAGTTGTTTTAGTTTCCATTGGGGCAAATGGCAAAGTATAAATGAACATTAAGTAGAGCCTGCTGGATGAGACAGAGTGGCCAGCCAGTTCCTCTGGAGGGCCAACAACAGGGCAGAGAGGCCGAGGCCTTCCCCTGAGAAGAACCTCAGAAGAGACCTGCTGGATCAGACCAGGGAGGGTCCATCTAGTCCAGCATCCCTTCTCACACAGGGGGATTGGGGATGCTGGGGATTGGACCTGGGACCTTCTGCATGCCAAGCAGATGCTCTACCACTGAGCCACAGCCCCCTCTCCATGGCTCTCCAGGGTCTCAGGCTGAGGTCTTTTACATCACCTCCTGCCTGATCCTTTCAACTGGAGATGCCAGGGATTGAACCTGGGACCTTCTGCCTGCCAAGCAGAGGCTCTACCACTGAGGCACGGCCCCTCTCCATTGGTCTCCAGGGGCTCAGGGTGAGGTCTTCCCCATCACCTCGTGCCTGGTCCTTTTAACTGGAGATGCCAGGGGTTGAACCAGGGACCTTCTGCATGCCAAGCAGAGGCTCTTCCACTGAGCCACAGCCCCTCTTTACAGCTCTCCAGGGTCTCAGGCGGAGGTCTTTCACATCACCTCCTGCCTGGTCCTTTTATCTGGAGATGCCGGGGATTGAACCCGGAGACCTTCTGCATGCCGAGCAGAGGCTCTTCCTGCAGTCTCAGGGTTTGCTGTGATGTCAGCGAGTGTGGCTGAGGCATTCACACTGTGGCTTGCCCTGCCAGCAGAAACTCTGCCCGGTCCCACCTCTAAGGAAAAACAGCATCCCCTTGACCAGCAAGGGGCAGTTCCCACTTCTACCTCTTCCCAAGTTTCAAGAGCTGCCCTTCCAACATTCCTCCCCCCGGCAAAGCCCCCTGCGGAAGGGCTGGCGGGACTCACCGTCTCTGTGCAAGGGTTCCTCCTTCGGCTTCGGGTGCATGAGGGTGAAAGGCAACTCCACGGCCACGTCACTGGAAAGAGACACAGAGAGTGAGCCCCGGGGGGAAAAGAAGCATTGCTGAACCCCCAGTGTGTGCTTGTCCGTGCTTCGGACAAATGCCCCCCCCGCCCTTCTTGAATCAGCGTCCTTCCCCTGAAGCCGGAGCCCGGCTGATGCACGTTGCATAAACAACCATTGCCTGTTGCACGTCCAAACTCAAATTGAGAGTCCAGTGTGGCACCTTTAAGACCGATAAACGTTTGTTCAAGGTATGAGCTTTTGTGTTCATGCACCACTTTTTCAAACACATTGGAATGGAAGGTAGAGTTCGAACTTATAGACAGAGGCTGAACAGCAAAATAACATGTAATCAGGGGTCATTTCCTGCAGGAGTGCACAGGAGCGGAGCTCCGGCAGTAAAGAGCCCAGGGGGCGGGCACATGCAACAAGCCCCACCCCCTGCACCCAGCAGCCCTCAGTCAGAGCAAGAAGCAGCCAGGTATGTTGCAGAGCCTCCCCCCCCGGCCCCCCAGTCCAAAACAGTCCAGTGGCACCTTTAAGGCCAAGTTTTATTCAGGTACAAGCTCTCCCTCCTCTGCGAGGACAGATCTGCACGTCCTGTCCCCCCCAAATAGCTAGCAACCCAAAAGAGTCCAGTGCAGCCTGAGCGGTGAGTGTTGCCTTCTGACACACTTCCGGTGATGTCAGGGGGTGTGGCGTATGCAAATAATTCATGCTAATGAGTTATGCTAATGAACTACATTTCTTTTTCTACGAAATGACCCCTGCATGTAATAAGAAGAGGGAGAAGAAAAAGAAAAGAAAGAGGAGGAGGAGGAAGAAGAGGAGGAGGAGATTGGATTCATACCCCGCCCTTCACCACCCAAAGGAGTCTCAGAGCGGCTTGCAAACTCCTTTCCCTCCCCCGCCCCACAACAGACACCCTGTGAGGTAGGTGGGGCTGAGAGAGCTCTGAGAGAACTGTCCTTGAGAAAACAGCTCTGAGAGAACTTAGGACTGGCCCGGGGTCACACCAGCAGCTGTACGTGGAAGAAGAAGGAGGAGGAGATTGGATTCATACCCCGCCCTTCACTACCTGAAGGAGTCTCAGAGCGGCTTACAGACTCCTTCCCCTTCCCCTTCCCCTTCCCACAACAGACACCCTGTGAGGTAGGTGGGGCTGAGAGAGCTCTGACAGAAACTGCTCTTCTTCAAGGACAGCTCTGAGAGAAGTATGGCTTGCCCAAGGTCATCCAGCAGCTGCAAGTGGAGGAGTGTGGAATCAAACCCGGTTCTCCCAGATTAGAGTCCGCGCACTTGACCACGACACCAAATTGATGAAGCCGTTTTAAGATATGCAAAGACAAAACTAAATAACAAGGTTAAGGTTATAAGGTCAACAGTTGTTTCGATTTAATTAAGGGGGGGAAAGGACAGCAAAGCGATAAATACGTCAAACTAGGGGATAAATGTGTAAAGGCATCTTTTCTCATTGCGGAAAGCGAACCGAGACTCTCCGTTCGTCTCCGATGTATTTGAAAAAGTGCGCATGCACACAAAAGCTCGCACCTTGAATAAACCTTTGTCGGTCTCACAGGTGCCACGGGACTCTAAATTTGTTCCGCTGCTTCAGACCGACACGCCTAACCAAACTGGAACAAACGCAAGTCGATCGGTTTCTGCGTTTGCACCGGCACGAAAGGGACGCACCAGTTCTTCTCGGCCAGCAGGGGGAGGCATTGCATAGAATCTTGCCGAACATCCACTTAGAAAGGCACGCCCTATAGATGGGGGGGGGGGAATCAGCATGCTGGGTCACTGAGAGCCGGAGGAACTCGCTGCCGCCGCTCATTCGTTTGCATGCTGGGAAAGGGTGAATCGGAGCTGGAAGGGAACCCCCTCAATGACCGTTCAGAGCATTTTGAGCCCTGGACTGGAAAAAACAGCCCCCCCGGGGGGCTGAACTGATGGAGACGGGAGAAGCTTTGTGATGGATGCAATTTATGAGCGGGAAGGAAAGCCCCCAGCTGGTGGAAGCCATGGCGAGAGACTCCCGGTGGCAAAGGACGGGGTGGGGGGGAGTCAAGAGCATGCATAAGAAGCGCCTTGCGGGATCAGATCAGGGAGGGTCCCTCTGGCCCGGAAATCTGTTTCGCAGGGTGGCTAAGAGAGGACCGGAGGCTAAGAGAGGACCAACAAACAGGGCATGCGGGCTGAAGTCTTCCCCGGTTGTTGCCTCCTGGTATAGCAAGGGAGACCACTTCTGAATGTGGAAGTTAAGAACATAAGTCCGTAAAGAATCTGAGAAGGGCCCCACTGGATCAGACCACTGAGGGTTCATCTGGTCCAGCATCCCGTCTCACACAGGGGCCAGCCAGTTCCTCTGGAGGCCGAAGGCCGAGGCCTTCCCCTGATAAGAACCTCAGAAGAGCCCTGCTGGGTCAGACCAGGGAGGGTCCATCCAGTCCAGCCTCTCGTCTCACACAGGGGCCAACCAGTTCCTCTGGAGGGCCAACACCAGGGCTCAGAGGCCGAGGCCTTCCCCAGATAAGAACCTCAGAAGAGCCCTGCTGGGTCAGACCAGGGAGGGTCCCTCTAGTCCAGCCTCCTGTCTCACACAGAGGCCAATCGGTTCCTCTGGAGGACCAACAGCAGGGCAGAGAGGCCAAGGCCTTCCCCTGATGAGAACCTCAGAGGAGCCCTGCTTGGTCAGACCAGGGAGGGTCCATCTAGTCCAGCCTCCCATCTCACACAGGGGCCAGCCAGTTCCTCTGGAGGGCCAACAACAGGGCAGAGAGGCCAAGGCCTTCCCCGATAAGAACCTCAGAAGAGCCCTGCTGCATCAGACCAGTGAGGGTCCATCTAGCCCAGTACAGTGGCCAGCCAGTTCCTCTGGAGGGCTAACAACAAGGCATAGAGGCTGAGGACTTTCCCTAATGTTGCCTCCTGGCTCTGTGATTCGCAGGTTGACTGCCTCTGAATGTGGAAGTTCCCTTTAGTCACCATGGCTAGTAGCCACTTATCCTCCTTCAATCTACCTAATCCTCCTTTAAAGCTGTCTATTCCTGTGGCCATCTGGCAGCAAATTCCACATCTTAATCACTCTCTGTGTAAGGAAGTATATCCTTTCATCTGTCCTGAACCTACTGCCCATCATCTTCATTGGATGCCCTGAAATTCTGGTATTCTGGGAGAGGGACGAAAAATTCTATTTGTCCACTCTCTCCACCCCATGCATAATTTTATAAACTTCTATCATGTCCCCCTTTAGTCATCTCTAAGGGTGTGTGTTCGGTATAAACCAAGCCCAATAAATACCCCCCAAACCCCCTTATCAGTATTTTTCGGGTATATATTGAGCCAAATGCAGATTAGACAATCTGATTCGGCTACTGATATAGCTGGCCTGAATAACAGCCGATATTATTCAGCTTTTATTCGGGTGGGAGCGGCACGACTTGGAGAAGGCATTCCCTTCACTCTTGGAGGTGTGACTCCGCAAGTGAAGGCATTTTTAAATGGCTTCCCTTCAATCCCCAAGTCGCACCGTGGTGGTGGCGAGAGAAGGCATTTTTAAATGCCGAATAAATTTGGGTTTCCTGATTATTTACCCGTATCTCAATATCATACCAATATTGAGATTCGGGAATATCGGGAAATAATGAAAAATCCAGAAAAGGCCATTTTTTGCATATGCACACCCCTAGTCATCTCTTTTCTGACCTAAAAAGTCCCCGAATCTTCAGCCTTTCCTCACAGGGAAAGTACTCCAACCCCCTGAATACACCCCATGTCATGAATCAAGAACTGTGGGGGAGGAAGTAGGTCTCCTCAAATGAAGATGTATCAGAAGATGTGAAAAGGCTGCCTCCCCCCCATTGTGGCGGAAGAGCGTCTCCAGCAAATCCCTTTCTCTGCCAAGCAGCTGACCCCTTGGCCATCTGGCCCCACAGCGCTCTTGGACAGCTCTCAATCCTTTCAGCTGGGGCTCTGCCAGAGAGCTCGCTCAGGGATTGTGCCTCATACTAATTAATGGGAGAGGAGGGGGCACTTGTGTTTCTGTTCCTCAGGCTCCGAATTGTCTTCTGTCAGCCCTGACTCACTGAGAATCCTCCACTAGGATAGGTTCAGCGGGCAGCCATGTCGATCTGCAGTAGAAGAGCACAATTCGAGTCCCGTAGCGCCTTCGAGACCAACAAGATTCCCAAACTATAAGCTTTCAAGATCCCTTCATCAGATACAAAACAGAATTCAGGTCTCTTAGTCCTTGCATCTAAATATACGGTGCTGAACAGGGTCACAGGATTCTTAGCTCACTATAAGTGATAATTTGCAGCCCCCTAAGCATTTCTCCGGGAGCTGCGGTGGCTCAAGTGGTTCAGACGTTGAACTGCAGGCGGTGGAAGGTCGGTAGCTCAGCAGTTCGAGACCCGAGTGCGCCGCGTGACGGAGTGAGCTCCCGTCTCTAGTTCCCGCTCCTGCCAACCTAGCCGTTCGAAAGCAAGAAATTGCAAGTAGATAAATAGGTACCACTTCGGTGGGAAGGTAACAGCGTTCGTGCGCCTTGGTGTTTAGTCATGCCGGCCACACGACCACAGAAACGTCTTCGGACAGCGCTGGCTCTTCGGCTTTGAAACAGAGATGAGCACCGCAACCCTAGAGACGGATTCGACTGGCTTTCGAGCAAGGGAACCTTTACCTTTACCTTTAAGCATTTCTCCTCTGCTCTAATCACGCCGATTCCATGCTGCATTTGACCTCTGCATCCTGAGTTCCCTGTCTGCGACACCCTGCCCACCTTTTGACTGGGACAGAAGGACTCAGGGATCTTCATATCTGGTGAAGGGAGCTCTGACTCTTGAAAATGCATACCCTGAACATCTTGTTGGTTCAGGGTATTGGTGTAGTGGTTAAGTGCACGGACTCTAATCTGGGAGAACCGAGTTTGATTCCCCACTTCTCCACTCGCACCTGGCTGGATGACCTTGGGCAAGCCGTAGTTCTGTTAGAGCTGTTCTTGAAAAAGAGCAGTTTCTCTCAGAGCTCTCAGCCCTGCCTACCTCACAGGGTGTCTGTTGTGGGGAGGGGAAGGGAAAGGAGTTTGTCAGCTGCTCTGAGACTCCTCTGGGTAGTGAAGGGCAGGGTATAAATCCAATCTCTTCTTCTTCTTCTTTTACCTCCCAGGGTGTCTGTTGTGGGGAGGGGAAGGGAAAGGAGTTTGTCAGCTGCTCTGAGACTCCTCTGGGTAGTGAAGGGCAGGGTATAAATCCAATCTCTTCTTCTTCTTCTTTTACCTCCCAGGGTGTCTGTTGTGGGGAGGGGAAGGGAAAGGAGTTTGTCAGCTGCTCTGAGACTCCTCTGGGTAGTGAAGGGCGGGGTATAAATCCAATCCTTCTTCTTCTTTAAGGCGCTACTGGACTCGAATACAGCTCTTCTACTGCTGACCAACAGGGCTGCCCTCTGATATTATCTCGCTATAGATGCTAATTTTCTGCCCCTGAACAGAAATGAGCTACCCTCTATTTAGCCTGAAGAGGAGACGGCTGAGAGGGGATTTGATCACCATCTTCAAGTACTTGAAGGGCTGTCCTGTAGAGGATGGTGTGGAGTTTGTTTTCTGTTGCCCCAGAAGGTCGGATCGGAACCAACGGGTTGAAATTAAATCAAAAGAGTTTTCAGCTAAACCTGAGGAAGAACTTCCTGACGTTATCCAGTTTCCAACCGTGACCAGCTAGACACTTCTGGGAATCACACACACACACACACACACACACACACAGCAGGCTTGGTGGAAAGAACCAGGAGGCGACTGACAGTATACGGTGACCCAACAGATGAGGTTGGAGGACCTGCAGAATCTGCAAAGACCCTCTCTGTCCGAGAGTCCACAAGTAACTCGTTTGACAAAGGAACGGGAAAAGGAGATGTCAACCAAAGAAAAACATGACGGCTTTTGGAAGATGAAATGGGATATGGCAGTGATGGCGAACCTTTTAGAGACCGAGTGCCCAAACTGCGACCCAAAGCCCACTTATTGATCGCAAAGTGCCAACACAGCAATTTAACCTGAATACTGAGGTTTTACTTTAGAAAAAACAACCCATACATTAACTTAAGATGATCCAAACAAAGTAAGGAAAGCCATCCCAAATGCTTTCATTGACTTAAAATTATTTGGCAGAGAATTCGACACTTTAATGACGGTCTGGGCCTGGCTGGGGCGATGGCACGCGTGCCCACGGAGAGGGCTCTGAGTGCCACCTCTGGCACCCGTGCCATAGGTTCGCCACCACTGGGATATGGGATGGAGGTGTGCAGCGTGGGGCACGGGCATGCTGGGTGGGACGTCTGCACCACACACGGCCAGAGCGAGAGCATTACCTGGACGCGAGGTCTCCCAGCAGGCTGGCGTTACCAAAGGAGACGAGAGAATTGGTTACAGCTTGCAAGGAGAAAGCTTTCGTGGTCGGCGGGCTTCGAGACCCAGGTCTGGCTTCAACCGCCCGGCCCCTGGAGCCAGGACGCACAAGCCGTGAGCTGCCCACCAGTCACAGTGGCAGGGTCTCCTGGATTTACCGCCTGTCTCGGATTGCAGATTGCTACACACAGGGCTATTTTTGGGCAGGAACGCCCACGAACGGAGTTCCGGCTGGCTCCTGAGTTGGCCACGCCCAGCAGGAACTCATTAGCATAAGAGGCCACACCCAACAGCAGAAACTCATTAGGATTGGCTACATTAGGGGCGTGTGGCCTAACATGCAAAGGAGTCCCTGCTACAAAAAAAGGCCCTGGGTTTTGACTACAGCCAAGGTAAACAGAATAAGAAGCAAAAGGTGGGTGTGGCTGGATGACCACACTTCTGGTAACATGGGGGTGTGGCCTAATGTGCTAATGAGCTGTGCTGTCAGGGGTGTGGTCCAATATGCTAATGAGTTCCTGCTGGGCTTTTTCTACAAAAAGAGCCCTGGCTACACACCGGGCAGCCCACACTACCTGGGCAGGGGAGGTATGCGCCTCGATGCGCCAGCAGGCGCACTGGCGGGCCCTGCGACAACATGCCTTTGGTGCATTGTTCCACAGAGACCACTGTGGGCTAGAGGGACCACGGTGCGATGGGGGCAGCTTCCCAGTGACTCAAGACTCCCGTTGCAGGGCACAGAGGGAGGGTTTCCCCGAAGTGTACTCACCCTCCCCGGGAGACGACCAGCTTCACTTTCACTTTGTACGACACAATGATGCCCAAGATCTCCTTGTTGGCGCCGTCTCGCAGCCTGAAAGGGAAGAGCGACAGAAAGGCACGTGAGACATGCTTATTCTGCGATGGTCAGGCCTCACCTGAAGTCCCGTGTCCAGTTCTGGGCACCACATTTGAGGAAGGAGGTTGACAAGCTGGAGCGTGTCCAGAAGAGGGCAACCAGGATGGTGAGAGGGTTGGAATCCAAGTCTTATGAGGAAAGGCTGAAAGAATTGGGTCTGTTTAGCCTGGGAAAGAGAAGGCTTAGAGGGGACACGATTGCAGTCTTCAAGTATTTGGAGGGCTGTCATGTAGAAGATGGAGCGGATCTATTCTCTCTTGCTCCGGATTGCAAGACTAGGTCTAATGGGTGGAAATGACAAGGGAGTCGATACTGGCTCAATATCAGGAGAAACTTCTCAACTGTCAGAGTGGTTGGGCAGGGGAACAGACTGCCTCGGGAGGTGGTGGATGCTCCTTCGCTGGACATTTTCAAGCGGAGGCTGGACGACCATCTTTCGGGTATGTTGTAGATATGTAGGGCTATCTCTTGGCTGTGCTCCTGCAGAGTGCAGGGGGTTGGACTAGATGACCTCCAAGGTCCCTTCCAACTCTAACATTCTATGATTCTATGACTCTAAGTGGAAGCCGCTGGAGTGACGGGCCACTTCTTGGCCTCCGTCCCTCCCCTCCATCCTCTTCCCCATTGAAGACTGTAAACTGCATGCTCCTTGCAGCAGAGAGCTTGTCTGGGAAAGTCTAATGGAGTTTGGGACGCAAAGGGTCACCTACACGGGTGGCATAATAAGCAATAACAGCAGTGGTATCCATCGACTGTATTTCTATACCAGCCTTCCGCCAAAGAATTTCTTCCGCTGTACCCTCACCACAACCCTGTGAGGTAGGTGCGGCTCAGAGCATGTTACTGGCCCAAGGTCACCCAGGAAGGCCTCAGGCCCATAGCCAGGATTTTGTGGCTCATGGGGCAAAGATTCTTCTGGCGGGGCTGCCATTATTTGCCATAATGAAGAGGGGGTGGGCCCTCAAAAACATTTAAAGGGCCCTCCAGCTGACTGGCAGGCCACCTGCTCCCCGCCGCTCGGCTGAAGGGCCCTTTAAATCTTAATGGAGGGGAGGCAGAAGGGTGCATGCCACCACCCCCACTTCTTCTCAAAAGCGGGGGGCCTTTAAGAAAGGGGCTGGCCCTTTAAGGAAGGGGGCAGAGCCCCTGTCATGGCTCAGGTGGGGGGTCACCTAACGCTGCCCCCACTCTGGTTTTAGGTTCCCTTGAGAAGGCCCAGAGTACCCCCCCAAGACCTTCAGACCTCCC